CTCCATTGCTAATTCCAAGTAATGGTAAAATCCCAATTATCTCTAGCATCATTCTGTTATGATTGTTTAATGTTCAGGATGTGAAACTAGACCATTTTATCTGTTTCACAAATTTAAACTGTACAACTCAACTGGGCTTTCTTTGTTGACAAATTAAGGTCAGTTTATCCCTAATTGGTTTGTTGTAGTTACCATAGTGTCTGTCCCAAAGCTTTTCTGCTATTCTTAAGCACCCAACCTTGTCAATACATCTTTTTCATTCTGTGGAGATAACCTATTTAGAGGTTGCCCCTCTCCCCCCAAAAAAACCTCTCCACCATGAGTCCCCTTAGATAGTGCCGTAAGAATTCTCTGCTTCCTTCTTTTTTTCTCATCTGAATGCCCAGAAAGTCCTCTGTTGTGCCTGTTCTTCCCTTCTGAATACTAAAAACAAACAAAAAAGGGTACACTTCCTGATCAGAAGTTGTTTGGGGAGAAAGGTAAGTGAATGGGAAACCACGCACATGGAGAAAGTATGTAGAGGTGGGGAGCAGCCGGGGTCTGCGGGGAAGTGGTCAGGCACCGACGTCATGACGCACTGTGCTTCCCCTTCCTTGTCTTTACTTTCCCTGTTTGTATCTTAGCCTATGCTGACCCCTTAACCTAGACTGAGACTTGAAGGTACTCTTCCTGTCTTTTGGTGTTGAAATTCTGTCCATCCGGGGTTGAGATAAGATAGTCTCATCTTTGGGGGGAATCTTTTGCAAAAACTGGTTTCCTAGACCCTGCAGGTTGGGGCATGGCACCCTCACTCTGCTGTATCGTTCCCTCTTAGCTGACCCCTCTGGCACGTCTTGTGCTAGAGTCACTCATGTGCTTATCTTGCCTCCTCTGTGGCCTAGAAAGTCCTTGAGAGTAATGTCTATACCTGCTTCACTTATAAAATCTCAGAGTGATTATCATAGTGGTTTGTGTCAACATTCTCAAGATGATGAGCCTTCACATGCCCCTTCAAATCAAACTATCACTTCTCCAAACTCAAAAGGAAAAAAAAAATTCCTCAGGGACAGGACTCTAATTTCAGGTGAGAGTAACAAGGTATGATTGTGGAGCACAGTGCCCCATAGCAGGGGCCCGGCGCTATTGCACCTCAGAAAACAGCTGTTTGTGCCGCTTTCCCACAGTGCTGTTAGGCCACTGTTGCTGACTGGTTGGTACTGACAGTGACCGTCATCGCGAGGTCCTGCCAGGTGATGTTGGAGAGCAGCACTTCAGGTCAGCATCTTCTAAAGTGTTTGCCTGCCCCCGTGGCTCTGTAGTCTTATAAGTGTTTCATCTAAAACTGGCCTTTTAACCCACGTAAGGGTCAGGGTGCACGTGGGTCATGGATACAGTGCAGTAACTTGCTCAACGTGAAACACTGTGTTTGTTTGCTCAATACGTATAATTTCATCATTTCTTGGCAAGGAACTGGAGTCAGGTCCAGATGCAGAAGATACAATTTTGGTAGATGTAATGAAATTGGGTTTTCTTTTTTCCTTGAGTCCAGGCAGTGATGGTTTTGGTTTTCATATTTAGAGCATTAATAGTATGATTTCTCACTATTCTGGCTGATTTGACTGAAGCTTTTGACATTTAAGTGTTTGCTATTTTCACTTTAATATTACAGACAACATACGTACTTAACACCAGACATCTGTTTTGCTTTTCCCACCTTATCCATGGTTGATTAAAGGGGAAAGGCTTTGGTTTTGGTCATGTATCTTAGTATAGAAAATATTTTTCTAAACTTGAGAGAGATTTAAAAGTGTGCCTTATTAGATAAATTTGTTTTACTTGGGAGCTGTGCTTTTAGAAGCTGAGTTAAATGGTCTCAGCATAGGGGCCTTTATGACTGTAAACTGGCCACTTCTCAAGCCCAGGGGAATGAAGATTGATCTTCTCACAAACCTTTGTCTGTTGCCAGCACTTACTGTGCTAGTGAGGGGAATTTGGTCTTTTAAAATCACACTCTTGCTCCAGTTATTTTATAGTGCTGTCCGGCCCTACCTGGCATACAAATTATTTTGTCTCCTCAGTATATTTGTTTTAATTTTCAGCTATTTCCTTAGTGTCTGGATGTGCTGCTTGGTTATCACCGGGTTCTGTGTAGTGTCCATGCTGTGCTTACTGTATGGTGAATCCAACTTTGTGGCTGGCACAGCAGAGGGCAGCAGTGGCAAGTTGTGAGTCTCTTCACCTCACCTTTTATGTCAAGCTCATCCTTACTGTGAATACCTAATTTTTAGCCTTCTCTACACTGTGCAAGGTGCTTGTTAACTATTTAGTTTTATATTCCACATTTTGGATGTGCTTTTAATGCTTTTCTTCTTAAGAAGTGCTGGAAACTGGATACCTAATTTAAAAGCCTTGCAAAAGTCATAATGAGTAAAAATAAACCACTATGTGAAGTGATTAATTTTGTGTGACATTTTATCTAGGTGGAATTTTAGAGCTGTAATTTGAGCTGAGAGCAATTAAAAATTTTTATCTTTATCTTTTCTTTCTTTTTTTTTTTGTAATTTAAAGCTCTGGGATGTCAAATCAGCCAACCTGAGGAAAAGCATTGATGTGAAGCAGTTCTTTCTAAATTCAGAAGAACCTCAAGAGGATATGGAAGTGATAGTGAAATGTTGCTCGTGGTCTGCCGATGGTGCTCGAATAATGGTGGCAGCAAAAAATAAAATCTTTGTAAGTATCATTAATGGCCACGTTTCATCTAATTTAAAGAAAGTTAGAACTTTTATCCGTTTTTGCATTTTACAATGTTTATTGATGAAATAAAGTACAGTTTATAATTCTGGGCAGGTTCCCTAACCTCTTCAGTTCTTAGCACTGTGGCCCAGAAGCTGTCCAAAGACCTTGTAAGAAAAGGGCTCCATGGGCAGGCAGGCTGGGAAGTGCTGAGTACGGCTCCCGCACCGGAGGCCTCCATGTGCCTTGACATATGCAAGGCCTCCAGAACCTGCAATGCAAAACGATTTACATTGTTACATCCAGTATTCTTATATTTACTTAAAATGTAGAATAATTTCTACATCACTTTATTTTTTTCACAATTTGAGGACACTGATTTAGGTATTTTCTGATTTGATGACTACCAGGGAGAAATACTCATCACCATCTAAAGAAGGATGTGAGACTACTATGAAGTAAACGAGGAAGACATGAGAATGACAAGGGAATGCCCCCCTCCCCATGCCTAGTATTAATGTTGAGATTTCTCCACATCCTTGCCAACATTTGTTATTTTCCATTTTTTTAAAATTATATCATTAGATGTGAAATTGTGGGTTGGTTTGTACTTCCCTAATGACTAATGGTATCAACAAAATTTGAACATTTAAAAGATCTAGTGAGAGGCAAATAATTGTATATTGCATGGAAATGTCTTTTAAAAAACAGTGTGTAGGCTAGCTCCTTATTTTACTGTGCTAATAAAACTACCTTAAGATCACCCTTGCTATGCATAGATCTCAGTTTCTTACTCTTTGGCTTCTCTAGTCCTCTCTTATTTCTTCCAGCTGTTTTGAGCTATTAGCCACTCTATTATTAGGTCTGGATTTTGTTGTTTTTTTTTTTTAAATTCCCATTCAGTAATTGGGACTGCTGCCTCTTTCATACTTGCAAGTTTCTCCTATCCTTCTCAGTTACTAGTTTTTAAGAAGGACCCATCGAAGGAAGCATTTCAGGTGTGATTTCCTGTCCTTCACTGTTGGTTCTCAAAGCTGTGTTACTTGCCCTCTGTACCTGCTTTCAGGCTGTGCATTCAGAAAACGTCTTCATGGCTCCTCCTGGAAGCTTATTTTTTCTTCCTAAAGACTGTGCTGTAGTCTTAAATTGCTATACACTAAATTGGTTCAAGTTCTTATTTTGGCAAAACATTAGAAGAATATATTCAGCATTTAAATATCTTGCATAAATTGGAATTAAGAAACTTGAATTATTCAAAAATAGCTCTTTGGGGTTTAAAAATGGGAAAATGATTGATCATAATGGAATAATTTGTTAGTTCTGAAGGGAAATAGAAAGGATTGAGCTAATTCCATTTTAGAAGCCTCTAATTCTAGCTCAGCTGGTACAGTGGAGGATTGCAGAATGCCTCTACTCTAGATTACTTTGATCATCTTAATTTATGAGTATGCATTTTCTCTTTTGAATAAATAAGCATTAAGGAGAACTTCTGTATATTAATTTGACTGGTCTGTTGGTTCAGTCACAAAGATTTTCTCTTGAGGCCAGCATGAGAAATCACCTGTGATAAGTTTTACTGTACAGGAAACATGTTTCAGGTTAAGCAATATTTTTAAAGTATTTGTATGTATTGATAAGTGCCGATAATTGTGGCAGTTATCAATAATTGGCATTTTTTCAGGACTTATACTTTATGTTTGAAGTGGAGGAATATTTTTAGAAATAAATTTTGGTTCATTTTGGACATAGCTTTTAAAATATCTTTATGTTGACAGCTTTTTGACATTCACACCAGGAACCTGTTGGCAGAAATTCATACGGGTCATCAGAGCACTATTCAGTACTGTGACTTCTCCCCTCATAACCACTTGGTAATAGTGGCTTTATCGCAGTACTGTGTGGAGGTGAGTAGTTGAATTTACTGTCTGAAGCCTGGGTCTCTAAAAGTAGAAGGATGATAAATAACAGGTTGCTCAAACCATTAACTGCTGAAGAAGTTTGCCTGAGAAATTATTGGGTATTTTTTTCATGGCATAATGACCTGTACCTGTAGGGTATTCAATTATATAGCCAGTTTTATTACATGAGCAGTGATGGAAGTCCAGCACAACAGTATCATTCACCAAACTTTATTGAATGACTAGGATATGCCAAGGTCTGGATAAGCATTGGAATGACCATGAATTTCCTACGCAGAAACATCCCTTAAGTACCTAGGCATAGACCCTTCTATGAAAGAAATGATGAGAGTTCAGAGTGAGAAGAGTAAGATGGAAGTTAAATTTAGAAGTGAGTAACTTAGGATCTTTGTTGCTACACACTGAAGAATAAAATGACTCATAAATTACTTGTTCATATTTTTGTAATTTTGCACGTATCTGATAGAATTTATTTACTGACTTTGGAATGTCCCATTCAATGACTTGCTATATTAATTTTTTTAAAGAAGCAATGAGTTCTTTGATATTTTCCCCCCAAAGATGGATTAGTTCCTTGAGTGGATCTTAACCCTAGTAATTTGAAGCCTCTTGTTATCTTCTAAGATGATAGGTTTGAGCCTTAATGTGGAAAATAAAAAAAGTCACATGACTCACTGGCTTTCTTGGAGGAAGCCTGACTGCTGACATGACTTGTTTAGCTTTCTGAGTGTATTTCAGCAATTCTCAGCTAGGGTGCCACTTGTGCCCTTTACTATGAAGGTTGCCGGGAGAGTTGCTGAGCTTTCCCATGTGTGGTGTAGGTGATGTGAGCATGTGTAGATAAGTGCCTACCAGTTCCAGGTACACTAGTGCAGCTAACTAAATCTTCCCACTGGAAACAGAAGAAGTGAATGTGAGAAAATCCCAATGCTGTTTGAAACACTGTGGAAAAATAAGGTGCTGTGTTCAGCACAGGCCTGGATGTGCTAAGAGATATTGCACTTTCTCTATAGATCCTCAGGGTAGGTGGGGTGGGACATTTCCCCTTTCTGGGCTTTGCTAGAAATTTTAGGCATTGAAGAGCAAGACCTCTTTCAGCCTGCCCCGTCATTTCTAAGACTCTTCCTCTCTGCCATTCTTAGAAAGCTCCAGGAAACACTGTCTTTCTTTTTGAAATAGAGGGACTTAGTTTTGGAGGTTGCGTGACAGAGAAACGATAGGCAAGAACAGGAAGAGAGGAGAAGGGAGGGCTTTCAAGGGAGACTTTTCGGTTGTGGAATCACTTTCATTGATGGCCTGTAGCTCTGTCTGTCCCAGCTTGGACTTTGGAGATTGGCAGAAAAGATTTCATGCAATTACTTTGTAACTGTGAAACTCACTGATTGAAAACCACTGGGCATGTGATGAGGTACTTGTTTTGTCTGTATTAGTTCTGAAATCATAAAGTAGGTCTGTAATTCAGAGAGTAATGAGAGGAACTCAGGTACATATGATACTTCATTAGACTGGAATATATTTGAGTAATTTACGGCAGGACTCAGAACAAAATATAGCCAGGCTGATGGCAGACACTGGCAATTTGTAATACACATGAATAATGAGAGAAATGTGTACATGTACAATTAGTACACTCATCCATTGTAGGGTTTTGTAGTCAGTTGAAATGAGGATTAGATGACAGTCGGAAATAGTTTGAATAAGAAAGATGCTTATATAAATCCCATTTTTAAAAATTGTTGTTTTTAAAAAATGGATAAATCTTAAGCATGATTCCAAATCAAAGTGGTGCAATAAGCTATATTCAGAGAAGATCTTACTTTTATCCCTGTCCCTTCCACTTCACTCTTCTTAACTGAGGTAAATTGACATATCACATTTAGTTTCAAGTGTACAACATAATGATTCAATATTTGTACATATTGCAAAACAATCATTAGAAGTCTAATTACCTCTGTTACCATAATACTTACAACTTTTTTCTTGTGATGAGAACTTCTAAGATCTCTCAGCAACCTTCAAGTATGTAACACAGTATTTTACTAATCACAGTCACCATGCCATGGTTACATCCCCACAAGTTATTTTATGACTTAAAGTTTGTACCTTCCCCCCTCTTCCCTCCTCAAGCAGCCCAGCCAGTCCAATCCCTGGCAACCACCAGTTTGTTCTGTTTGTGAGACAGGATTTGTTTGGTTTAGTTTTTTTTTTTTTAGATGCCACACACGTGAGGTCATATAATATTTGTTTGTCTCTGCCTGACTTACTTCATGTAGCATGATGTAATGAACATCCATCTATGTTGTTGCAAACGACAAGATTGCCTTCTTTTTTATAGCTGAATAATAATGCACTTAGTATATATTTTCTTTTCATTCACATGTCCATATTAGTGGACAAGTGGGTTATTTCCATACCTTAGCTTTTGTGAATGATGCTGCAATGAGGTAGAGCTGCATACCTTTTTGAGTTAGTGTTTCTGTTTTCGTTGGATAAATACCCCAGAAGTGTGATAACTGGATCTTGTGGTTATTCTATTTGAAATTTTTTGAGGAACTCCTGTGCCATCTTCCATAATGGCTGTACCAATTTGCATTCCTACCAATAATTCTCCACTCATTTTTTTTTTCCTTCCCCTAAGTAACTATTTTTATTTTTGGTTTAACATTCCAGTGTTTCTTTTTGTGTCTATATGAACAGATATATGTATATGTATATATTTCAAATCTGTGTCTCCATATACCTCCAAATATCTGTTTATATATTTATATACTTATTTTTCATCTACTATAGAATATAATGTATGTGTATAGATACTCTTCTGAAGAACTAGATGTGTCTGTGTGTTCTTTGCTTTCTTTTCATAAACAGTATAAACTAGAGACTAGTCTTTCATAGAGTTTTATTCATTACTCTTTATGGCTGCATTAGTATTCAATAATGTGACTGATGTAATTTATTTAATAACTGCCCTATTGATGGTCTTTTGGATTCTTTCGAGATTTTTTGATATTAAAAATAATGATGTAATAAGTAATTTTTCTACAGTCACTTTGTATTTCTGTTAGTGTAATTTGAGCTTTAGTCACAGAAGTGGAACGGCTGGATCATTTTTGCTGTACTCAGTATTCTTCATATATTCAAAAATGCTTACAAATTTCATTTCCTTTATGCTGTGTCTGTTCTGTAGTTGTGGAATATGGACTCATGTTTAAAAGTAGCTGATTGCCGAGGACATTTAAGTTGGGTTCATTGTGTGATGTTTTCTCCTGATGGATCATCATTTTTGACATCTTCTGATGACCAGACAATCAGGGTGAGATATGTTGTGATTTTTATTTTAGAAATTTACTCATGATAAGTGAGACCTCTTACATACTGAGACATTGATGCAAAGTATTGGGGGAAGTAAAACAAGGAGACTACTCAATTTACTTTTATGAACAGCACTTCGAAAGTGCTGTTACATGTGTTATATTAATGTCTCATTGATCTAGTATGCATTTATTGAATAGTACCATGGGTCAGTTCACTGGTTAAACTGTATTTTGGTTAACTTAAGTATATTTCCTTTGATTTATCAGAATTTTGACTCTTTCTTCCTGTATGTTGAATTCCCACATGTGAATCCTTGCCAGTTTTAATAGGTTTCTGCCTTTGCATGTTCTAGTATGTATTTCAAGTTAAGATGCTCACTACCTGTTGCTACTCTTGTATCAGCTTTTGCCTTAAGTCTTTTTTCTTGGTTTGCTGCATGTTGCTTCCAAGATATGTTCCTATTGTACACTCTAGTCATGTGACTCTCTTGCCTGCCAAGATAAGTATGTCTCCAAGCCTGCCATTAAGTTTCTCTATAGCATAGCTTCATTCTGTTCCAGTCTGCCTTCTGGCTTACTCCTATAGGGCATGGGGCTGGTCACATTGCCCAAACAACCTGTATTTCCCTGCTTCTCTACTTTTGCTTATTGGTTTCTTATGTTAGGAATATACTATATTCTTTTGTCTCTCCTATACTATTCCTAGTATTCATTTTGGGAAATGTCTTCAATTTTCATATAACTCTGTTATTTTCTTACATATAAAATCTGCTTAAAATTTAAGTATAAAGTTGATTTACTCTAACCGTCAATACTCTGCTACTCTGATTTATTCACACATCTTAGATTATAACCTTTTTGAGGCCAGAAAGCCTGGTTAGACCTTGTACCATCTAATAAACAATGTTTTTTATAAGTTTTAGTTCAAAACTTTATTTAGTATTTACTGTATGCCTGGCATTGTGGAAAGTGCTGCACATGTATTAGTTTAATTCTTTTTGCTGCCAAAGAAACAGACAGAAACATAAGTTGGTGCTACTTAAAGTACTATTTCAATAAGTTTGAGCCAGAATGTAAGTCAGTGCATTGCTTCCTTCATTAGGAAACTCTTGTTAAAAAAAAAAGAATCTGTATAACTATGCCGATAATACTGTTGTTCAGTGATGTCGCAGATTTACATTCTGGCTTTTTATCTCAGCATCAGAAGATTGGAGAGCAGCAGAGGGTCCTTACTTTGAGCAGCACTAGGTTAAGTAATCTTCCCAAAGTCACGACGTTAGGTGTAACTAGAGTTCACAAAAGGTGTTTTGGTTTTAGCACCCATTACTTTCAGCACTAACTGCTTCTTAGTGTGGTGTGTAAATAACAACTAGTTATTATTGTTGAATTATAATTTAATAACTGAAAACATTTCTAGTATCATGTGCATTTTTAGTGTGAAGTTTGGTTTGTATCTTGCTTTAAGACTAAGACTTGTCTTTACATTATTTCACAGACACACCTTTCTTATTTTGGTTTTTTTGATCTCTTAATCAGCTCTGGGAGACAAGGAAAGTATGTCAGAACTCTGCTACTGTCTTAAAGCAAGAAATAGATGTCATGTTTCAAGAAAATGAAGTGATGGTTCTTGCAGCCGACAACCTAAGACATCTGCAAGTAAGTATTTTTCAGAAAACCATTGGAGAATTTGGTCTGATTGAACTCATAGTTCCCAGTTCCCAGTTCTCCTTGTCTGTTTTTGGACTTGGGGTCAGGCATGATTGTATTAATATCTACCAGATGTTCACCAGGTATTGGTTGAGTAAACACATTGGTCTTGAGCTTAGGCTCAGATATACCTTATTTAGAACTAAATACAATGATACTACCCCTCCCCTGACTTTTCACATTCCTTGACTTGCAAGGAGTCTTATTCTGAGGACCACCGTGAACTTGTCCACTACAGTGACTTAGACGTGCCTGCTAGGGTGTACCCAGGAAATGATCATGCCAATGGCAGCAGAAAAAAGATTTTTTTCTTTGAAAGAACGAAAATCACCTTAAGTAAAAAAATATCTGACCCATTGGAACTGAGGTAGAAGGAGCTGGACTGTACATATTGAAATACACCTGTGCATCATTGATTTACTCACACATTTGCTCAAGAAATAATTATCAGGGAGAAAAAAAGAATTGTTAAATGTTGACTGTGTTCCCTGAGAAGGAAAGGGTCATGAGGTAAAAGAGCTATCACTTTGTGACCCAGATAGCTCTACTCTAGCTTGTCCTATCCCTTCTCCAAGAAAGAATGGAATACATGAGTTGAAGGCATTTTTTTGACTGGATGAGAGGAAAGGAGCCTCAGAGATCCATTGGCTGGAGTGGTAATTTGAGTGGTTGGTAATAGAGTAGTTTTCCAGTTTTGTGGAATTGGGGCTTCCAGAGCAGGTCTGCACCACTGTGTTGATCTGTGGAATTCCAGACATTTGGCATTGGATTGATGAAAAACCCCTGGAAGTGGAGGGAGCATTCTAGGTAGTGGCAGCAGGAGAAAGCAAACACCTCATGAAAGGTCAGATGAAGGTACTGCCTTCAGGTAGTACAGCCAAGTAGGGGAACACTGTAGGAGGTGGCAGTGGCTCCCAACTAAGAGTGGTAAGTAGCGAGAGCAGCAGGTAGAGATGAAGCGACTTCTATGTAAGCTTCTGCTTTGCCCTGAGGAGTCCTTGAAAGACACTGGGTTGGGAGGGACACTGCGGGCTAATGCTCCTGTTACCCATTTTCTTCTAGTCTGTCGTTTTAGCATGAATCCGAGTTAACCTTTCTTCCAGATGCATTTACAAAGGGTCTTACTAACTTCTAGGGAAAGGTTTTAGCAGTGATAATGGGATCTTATGCTGTTTTTGCATTTGATACTTCTTGATTGGGTTATTGGAAAGGAGGGGACAAAAACATGTTTGGGAGAATGAGATGAGATAGTGACATAGAGCTAATGAGAAGAGAGAGGCAGAGTAGAGAGAAATAGAAGGCACGAGTCCACGAAAGGTCTGAGAGATAACAAGAGCTTGAGACAGACTGGCAGAGGGCAGGACGGCTTAACATGTTCTAAAGCTGCAGAGCTCAGGTTGATACAGCGGAAAGAGCTGTGACTGTTCACTCAGGAGACCCTAGTGCAAGTTCAGGCTTTATCATCAGCAGGTTCTGTAATGGGAGTAAATTATATCACTTTTCTAAGTCTTACTTTATGCATGGAGTGGTCCATTGTATCTTAGTGAGCCTGAAATGGTTATAGGGTCAAGGTGGGATCCAGCTTGAGGAGTGAGGTAAATTGTGTGTGGTAGTTTCTCTTGTCAACTGTGGGGGTTAGACTCAAACTGTGAGACACCTTCAAAAATGACTTGTTTTGTTCTTTGCAGCATTTACTGTTGTCTTTAATACGTGGATGAGGAGCTCTTAATGTCCTTTCTTTCTGGGGAGATGAATGTGAATTGCTCATAACCGATTTTTACTAGGCTGTTTACTTCTCCTGGGGTGTTTTGCACTGCTCTTTTCTTGTCCGGTTCAGTGTCCTTCTGCTGGTGTTGCCTTTACTACAGTTGTGCAGCCTTTCTGTAACAGTTGTCTCAACTGCGAAACTTAGAAAACAACTCAGCTGACTGTGAAGTATCATTTTACTCCATGGTAATTATTGTGGGAGAGTTGAAAGGATAAACTGACAGTAATTCTGTTTAACTGAACAAAGCCTTTTTGTGGTCACTACTTAAAAAATGGAAATGATTTTTGAGAGAAAGATGATACTCAGCTTTTCATTTTGAATGTCTTAGTAGACAGAACATGCTAGGTAAAATACTTTATAGTATTGGTTGACCCTATAATCCTTGTGCCTGACTCTGTATTTCATGTTGAAAATAATGCAAGACTTCTAGGTTGTGACATATGAGATAAGTATCTGATAATTGATTTAAACTTGAGAAATAATTTCTTAAGTCACATGTTTTAGTTGAATGTGAAAGTATCTTTATCAGTGGGATTTTTAAAATAATCATTAGCTTTGTTACAGATTATGATAATTGGTGATCTTTTTTGTTGTTGTTGTTTTGTTTTGTTTGTTTTTAAAAAATCTTTGTTTAAACATTGCAAATCTGACACTCAAACTTTGCTATGGATACTTTTCCAATATCCCTACCCTAGCAAAAGAAATGGGAAAGAATCTTAATTTCCATTGTTTTAAAGTAAGTTAGAGGATATAAAACCATTATAATTTTATCTTTTTGTGTAATGTCTGTCTCAGTTTCAACACCCCCTTGTGAAAAATACCAGAAAACATATTTTAGCCTCTCCAGACAGGCCATGGGAAGCAGTGGGAGGCAGGGTGCAGGGCTGGCTGTGGGGTGCAGGCCACACAGATAGGCCTCAGGGCGGGAGCAGCAGCTGCCTTTGAAACCTTTAGCGCGCACTTTATTTTATGAAAATGTATCTGAACCACAGAAGTGAAATGAAAAGAAAGTGCGACGTGCTAAATGCAGCTTTGAGACCAGGATGGGCTTTGTTGTGCCCTGGGGAGCTCTTGTCTATTTTATTTTTTCAACTGAAATTTCTGTGCTAAAGAACAGAAACTGCTGTTACAGGCTATAACTGATTGTGCCTCATTTTTCATTAGCTCATTAATGGAAAAACAGGTCAGACTGATCATCTAACTGAAGCCCAAGTTAGTTGCTGCTGCCTAAGTCCCCATCTTCAGTACGTTGCACTTGGAGATGAAGAAGGAGCCATTAAGGTATTCGGATCTCGTCTTCAGAGTCTTTTTGTGTGGAGGCGCTGTGGACTGGGCCCGTTGTACGTGTGCCTTGGTAGACTTCCGTGCTGAGTCTCTCTGTGGCCTGCGTGCCAGCCTTTGTCGGTTGGGAGGGTCTTATAGTCCGGGTGCGCGGGCGCTGAGACCTGCTGCCTTGTCCTTCGGCCCAGACTTTGTTGGCCTTTCATGTTGATTGTTTTCTAGCTAGACTGCTTTTCTCCAAGAGTGCCAAACGTTATCAGCCATTAACTATACAAAGAGATGTTCTCCCCCTCTAGACCTTCAACAACAAGGGCATAAATTGTTTCCATTTTGGGACCAATAAGGTTCCTTGGAAATAGCAGTGTCGGGTTGCCTTCTGCTTACCTGTTTGTCCAATTTTTGCAGTTCTGTTTTTGCTATCAGAATAACACCTGTTGGCTACCCAAAATCCTTATCAAATAAATAAAAGTATAATTAAAAACTTAATTTCACTGCAACTGAAAGTCTGTGCAAAAAAAAGATTTTTTTTTCCAGACTGTATAGTTTTTCAAAGGACATCAAATGGTCTCACTTTTTCTTTTCAAGCTTTTCTTAATTTATTAGTTGTGGCATTAGTCACATATATTTCCTTTGGATTCATTTTCATAAGGAATCACACACATATTTCCCAGTCCAGATTGTCCCACAAGCAGGTGACTATTGTATGTATGAGGTGAGGGAAGCATTTGGCACGTGCTCGCTGTGTTGTGTTCTGTGTGTTTCTGTGGCCAGTGTAGCCTGCTTCATGAGGTTAAGGCACTTTCTTTCTTTTCATTATTGTGAAAAATGATTAATTGTGAAGATGGGTGTGGTTCTGAAAAAAGTGTGTTGTGGAGGTTTGGTGAGCAAGGGATGATTGTGCATTTACTGATGAACCGCCAGCTCCCTGCCAGACCGTCTCGCCTCTCAGCCTGTTGTGCGGGTCCTTGGGTCTCCTTTCTTTTACCTTGCTGCCGAGCCTTTGCTAGCTGCATTCTTTTTGCTTTTACCATTGAAGATTTTAACATAAGCTATACAGACAGTTTAAGAAAGTAACACACACACACACACACACACACACACGTTCTTTTCCATATCCTTATTTTCCTCGCGGTCATCAAATAATACAAACGATGTTGAGTCACATACAATTACCAATATTTGATTGTGGCCTGTGAAAGTGCAGTTTCATGTGGTTCAGCCTAGTTTCTTCAAACCACCACCACCATTTATCAGTTGTTTACTATACCAGATGTTCTCATTGATTTATTGTAACATTCTGTAAGCTTGGTATGATTACTACTGGTTTATAGATGTCTAAACTCTTTCCAGATCTTTCATAAAATAAGTGGCAAAGCTTGAATCTAAACTTAGGCCTCTGTGCTCAACTGCTTTGCGGTCCTGCCCACCCCTTGAGAAACGTGACATTTAGGCAGGGTTATTCTTTTTGAGTTCTCTTACCTCTTTCTTCATCTCTGCATTTGGCATATTAGTTGTCAACCCTTTTCCATCTTTTCAGTGCCTAGCACACCCCTCTCCCCCCTCTTATTCATCCCTTCTTCTCCATTTCTTGTCTCCCACATCAGCCAGTCTTTCCTTGACTCTGTGTTGTTTTACAAAGAGTTGGCCTGTCTGTCATCTAGGAATTTTTTTCTTCTTCATCCATCTTAAATGTCGTTTTCCTTTTGGAGCCTGAGCCAAGATTGCCAATCGTTTAATACACTGGTAGCTGAGTACCCAGAAGAACCACTGGTTCCTGCTGTCAACTGATGATTCAGTGAGTGTTGTATTTTGTGGTGTGGGTGTGCATATGCCTACCATCCATGTGTGTCTTCCTTTAAACTGCACGCACTATGAGATGGAAACTCCAAACATTACTGTAGTCTAATTTTAACTTAATGTCTTTAACACCTAATGCTTATTGCTGAATTTCTTTGTATTAACTTTCTGTGGTTTTCTGCTTTGAAGATTTTAGAACCCCTAAACAACAGGACCTTTCAGTCCAGAATTGGGCATAAGAGCACTGTGCGGCACATGCAGTTCACAGCTGATGGGAAGACTCTCATTTCTAGTGCGGATGACCCTGTAATTCAGGTGAGGGGTTGAACTCCTAACACATGTAACACTCACTCTAGCAAAGGAACACTGATTATGGCTCAAATCTGGTATGCATTTGAAGCATTTTTAAAAAATCTCATTACTTTCAGCATACATTCAAATTATGCACATAGGATAAGGAAACCAATTTATGTTCAATATTTTTCTTAGGATGAGGCAGGCAATTTGACTTAGGGCCTTCTGCTAGAAGGTTGTTTATTTTGAAAATCAAGGATTAGTTGACCTCTTCTCCTAATTTGGGGCTTGGATTTGTATTAATAGGCTCACTTTTGGCCATATTTTTTTTCCAGGTTTTTTTAGTTTATTTTTACATATTGTGCATTTTTCCATTTCAGTTGCAATCCCCTTGGGTTTCCCATCACCAAATCACCCATGTGCCATCACCACAGACTTTTTGGCCATATTTGTGTACATTTTTTACAGTAGTAAAATCTGGTTAAAGTAATTTAATTCTTTGCTTTTAAGAGTAAGATATTTATTATCAGAATGAAATCCTCCACAAAGGAATAGTTTATCCTAAGGAAGAATTATGGCTGTAGAAACTTCAGGCCTGTTGTATATGTTCTTTTAAAATTTATTTGCACCTAAGTACTATGTAATACTTACAAAACTTGAATATTAATTACTACCTGGCTTAGTATGAAACAGGCCTCCCAGGTTCTTTCTATAGAAACACTACTTTTAGCTTTTAGTTGTTTCTCTTGATGTTTACCTTCATGTCCCTGTGTTACTTGGTTTTTTTTTTTTTGTTTTTTTTTTTTTACTATTCTCTTGATAAGGATACCTTAATATCCTTCTTCAGGGAAAACATTCTTAAACTAAGAGATGGTGAGCTCTGCAAGTCAGGACTTGGTAGAGAGGGTGGCTGCTGAATGTGGAGCATGAAGGAGGAAAAATGTTTTTTTTCTTAGTAGTTTTTACTAATCCTGATAGCAAAAGCCTTAAAGACTTTTCTGTTGTTTAACCTTACTAGCCGAAAACTAGACCCAGGATACTGGGGCCGTGTCTGATCTCTATTTTTATCTTCCCACTCCTGGTGTTAAAGATAAAAGCTTGTTTTGTTGCCTGCGGATTGCACTCAGAAGCTGAGCTTCATCTGGCCGTCTGTGCTGTTGCTTCCAGTATCTTGCCAACCTTTTTTCCTTACTGTTCTTGTTGTATACCAAGTACTCCAACCAGGTTAAACTAAGAGCAGGCCCTGTGATCTTTCCAGGTCTTCCTGCTCCTGTGCTGTTTTGAGACTCATTCTCTCACTCCATTCTTGAGGCCGACTTTGCCCCAGCATCTCCAAGTTTTCTCTAAGGCATTGCTTTTTTGAATTCCACAGAACTTTTATCTCTATTTCAGATCTTCTTTTATTTTTTTCCCTTTTCTTTGCTAGATTGTTAGTTTTCTTTATGCTTGAAACTTGCTTCATTCATATTTCTTACACAGTGGTGCTAAATACATTTCTAATTAGTTTCAAATAGTGATGAATAAGACTCTGAAAATAGTCATTTTAATGTAATAATAATCAATTTTCTTTACATGGACATAGTATAGAAATAAATCTGTTCCATTCACCTATATGCATTAGATATGCTTCGTTGGTTTATTTTGTTCCAGTTATTCATATTATTTTAATTCTTTTTCTTCTCTTGTGCCTGAGTTGTTTTTGTAGTTCACTCTGAAAACTAATATACTGTATCATCTCTGGGTATTTTGTTTAAAGGTTTATTTATTTATGCATACAAGAACAGGGGTGTAGTCCAGAGATAGGGGGAAGGGTGGGAGGATTCACCAGAGACAGAGCAGAAGAGGCAGATGTACTGAAATACACTGCTGAGGGGAGCAGTGGGTGAGACAGGAGAGGTCTGCTGCACCATATGGGTCAGCTCTCTGGCTGGGGATCAAACTCGTGCTGCAGTGGCTGGTGATAGCTTGATAGTGCTGAGTCTTTAAGCCCTGCACCACCAGGGAGGCCCCTCTTTGGTCATTTTGAAGGTGACCATTGGGCTAACGAAGATCTCTAAAACTTAGAGACCTTCCATGGCTCAATTTAAAGCTGCTGGTCAGCCAACTTTCCCAGGCACTAGTGCCAGAAGCATTCAGTGGCTTCAGTGGAGTTACAGTCTACAGACTTGCTTTGCTTGTGGGTTAAGAAATCTGTAATATATAACTGGGGTAACTGTCTCTCGAAAATTTAATCAGATGGTGAGCTCACTTGCACATTGTGGCTTTTCTCTATCACTAACTGCTCTCCAAGCAACTGAAGAAAACAAATTCTATTTAAGAGGAAAGTATTTTTTAATTTTTTTAAAGATTTATTTATTTATTCATACAGAATTGGGGTACAGGCCAGAGTTGCAGGGGCATTGAGAAGATTCACCAGAGACAGAGTTGGGGGCAGACAGAAGTACACTGCTGAGGGGAGCAGCGGGCGGGTCAGGAGAGGTCTGCCTCGCCCTGTGGTCACCTCCGGGGCAGGCGGGGATTGAAGTCATGCGGAAGTGACCTTCGATTCTTAGCGCTGCTCTTTAACCCGCTGCACCACTAGGGAGTGCCAAGAGGAAAGTATTTTTTTATTCCCAATGAAGTTAATTAACTTCTGCTTTTCTCTTCTCTCTTCTCTCTTTTAAAATGGGACACCATATTCTTTCCTGGTTCTCTTCTTTGTGTTGCTGAAGTGCCATGAGGGTAAAACACTAGAGACAAGTGACCACACACTCCCCCACCCTGCTACTGGGATATTACAGGGTTATAACAGACTTACTTCTTGATACTCAGGTATGGAATTGGCAATCAGAGGACTATGTCTTTCTGCAAGCCCATCAGGAAGCAGTGAAAGACTTTAGGCTCCTGAAAAACTCAAGCCTGCTTTCTTGGTCATTTGATGGAACGGTGAAGGTAATTTGAAGCGCGGGTTTCTTTTACAACAGGCGAAGCAGATGGATGTTAAGTTACTACCTGAATTTCAAAAATTTCTATTTTTTCAGGCCCGTTTTCTGTTTCCACACTGCACTCACCTACATCTGCTGTGTGTTTATGAGCATGAGCACTGAAGGGCACTGAGAGAGGTCAGAACAGCTGACGTGCTCAGGCTCTTGTGTTATAGCTCTGTCTGGCTGATTGTGCTCATACAGAATGTTCAGTCAACTTCTGACTTTTTCTTTAAAGGTATGGAATATTATTAATGGGAGAATAGAAAAAGACTTTGTCTGTCATCAGGATACAGTACTTTCTTGTGATATTTCTCCCGATGCTACCAAATTCTCGTCTACCTCTGCCGACAAGACGGCAAAGGTAAGTGAGCCACTCACAATGTGGGTGAATGACACGTTGGCAAATAATGTATAAAATGGAGTAGTGCAGTTTCTACTTATCTGTTTCTTATTGTTGCATACCTGCAGTAAAGTTTTATATAACTTATGTAAGTTGACACTTCCAAAAATCATATTCCAGTAAAATGATGCTTCTTGGCTGCATTTTTTTCAAGCTACCAACCTTGGAATTGCCTTGGGCTCTGTCCTGTCTTTCATGCCCTTTTGATTACTCCTCTGTCTTGGGTCCTCCCTTTCTCCCTTGTCCCCATCCCTAAGGCCATTCTCTCCCGTTTTCTGCACTGAGGGCTTTGCCAGTGTCTGCACCTCCTCCAGCTCTGGTCCTCTGATTGCCCGAGTGCCCTCCTGAAACACGTGTATCACCTGGCAGCTTCGGGGCAAACGCCTCGCCGCTGCCTCTCCTGCCCTTCTTTTTGCATGCTGTTAGCTTTGGCTTGATAAAACCTACTTTGTAAAAAGTCACTCAGGAAAATGAATGTAGTTGCAAGTTGAAACTTGGAAGTTTATAAACTGTTGGATGTAGGGCCATCCAGGTGGTTGAATTTCTGCTAACTCAGAAGCAGGATGTGCAGTGCTTATTTCAAGTGGACAGCTGTCCCTCAGCAGTCTTCATTGCCTTCCAGATTTGGAATTTCGAAGACTTTTCCCTTCTTCATGAACTGAAGGACCACAAAGGCTGCGTGCGCTGCTCAGTCTTCTCTGTGGACAGTACCCTGCTGGCGACTGGAGATGACAACGGAGAAGTCAGGGTAGGCTGCCTGGGCGGGCAGCCCGGCCTTCCCCTCTGCCTGCAGGGGCCTTTGCTGCTGTGACTGGGAGGTGCGGGCCAGGCTCCGGATGGATGAGGCTTTCTTTGTTTTGCTTCTTGTGTTCAAGCTGCACTCCACTGTGGAAAAGGACTCATTTTAGAGTTAGAGCGAAGCATCGCCCATGTATGGAAGGAGGCAGAGGCCCTCGCTATTTGCAGTTGGTTCTGCTATTAGCTTGACAATGATTGATCTCAGTTCTTGGACTTGAGCCATGGTTGTTTTTAGTAGAAGAATTTGAGGGAGATAATTCTGTTATCTAGACTATCAATGAATTACAAATTCTGCTGTTTTCAGCACTGAGAGAAAAGATATCTTTAGCGCTGTATGCAGTAGAGAATCAGCATTTACAGTGGTCTCTTGCCATCTCGTGGCTCTGTCGCTTCCGGCTCTGGTGGAAGGTGTGGACAGTTGCTGGAAAATGTCTGGGCGTTGAGGATGGCTGCTTTGGAGACCTTTATACATATGGAGAGTACTGCTTTAATTTTTCTTTTTACAAAGGAGAATTTGAAACTCAAGGAATAGGCAGATAATGCAGAAGAGCAGATTCCAAGATGAGTGGCCATACCCCACAGGCTTTCTGGACAGTTAAGGTTCTTCTTCACAAGCCCTAAGTAACTGCCTTTCTCTCATGAGTACCTTTCTCTGTACAATCTCACTTGTCAGTGAGGCAGGGCTGTGGGGGGACGTTCATGTGTTTGAGTTCTCATCTTTGGGTGAAAGGGCTATTTGACTGTTTATGGGGCAGTGTTTTTGTAGAAGCCCCTGAAGGAATATATTTCTCTTAAAATTTTTTGTTGTCCATTTCATAATTCAGAATATGGGGAAATTTTTGGTACACACACATATATAAACCCATACATACACATACATATGCATGCACACATAAGATGTCTGTGTTATGTATAGCTATCGTATGTACATGACAACTAGATATAAGAGAATATATATAGCTTATATACCTGTAGCTATCTTATATCCATTCTTTTTTTTTAAGATTTATTTATACAGAACTGGGGTACAGGCCAGAGATGTGGAGGGTGAGAGGATTCACCAGGAACAGAGTGGGCAGATCGACAAAATATACTGCTGAGGGGTGCAGTGGGCGGGTCAGGAGAGGTCTGCCACGCCATGTGGATCTCCTCCAGGGCAGGCGGGGATCAAACTCATCAGGAGGTGGCTTAAGCTTCTTAGTGCAGTGCTTTAACCTGCTGCGCCACCAGGGAGGGCCCTATCCATTATTCTTTTTAATGAATTTTTCCATTTGGTTCTCTTGAATTTTCTTGGTAGATATTTGCAAGTGATGATTTTGATTCTTTTCTTTTACATATATATATTTAATGAATAAGTTTATTAGAAAGAGACAGGAGAGGAAAAGACACTTGCATAGGCGCAAATAGGCAAGAAGAACTGCCTGATTATTTTCTTTTGCTATTTATACCTGTATTTCTTTCTTTCTTCTTTTTTCTTTTTAGATTTATTTATTTATGCTTACAGAATTGAGGTACAGGTCAGAGGTGTGGGGGATTGAGAGGATTCACCAGAGACAGTGGGGAGCAGAACAGGCTGACTGATGAAGTACACTGCTGAGGGGAGCAGTGGGCGGGTCAGGAGAGGTCTGCCTCGCCATGTGGTCACCTCCGGGGCAGGCGGGAATCGAACTCATGCGGAAGCGACTTTAGATTCTCAGTGCTGTGCTTTAACCCGCTGCGCCACCAGGGAGGGCCCGGATCGGCATTCTTAGTGGGAACTCCTTAACTACAATTCTTTTCTTACTCAGATACACTTGACATAAAATATTACTCATTTTAGATATATATAATGATTTTGTATTAGTATATGTGGTCAAATGAACGCAGTAAGTCCAGTTAACATCCATGAACATATAGTTATATGTTTTCCCCTGGCAATGGAAACTTTATAGATCTGCTCTCTTAGCAATTTCTAGATAGGCAATAAATACAGTGTTGACTCTAGACTCATACAATATCCCCGTGCTGCATCTAATGGCCGGAGTTTGTGCCTTCAGGTCTCTTTCCTCACTTTTCCTGCCCTCACCTCATCTCTGACAACCACCGGTCTAGTCTGTTCTGTGAGCTTGGTGTTTTTGGGTTTTTTTTGAACTTTTTAGAATCCACATATAAAAGAGGTCATATGATACTGGCTTTCTTTGTGTGACTTAATAGTTAGCATAATACCCTCAGGGCTCATCCATATCCTCACAACTGCAAAATTATCCCAGTTCCATATTTTGAGTTCCTTGTGTTTCTGAGGTAGTTTGTTAGCCCCTTTTAAAAGATTTATTTCTTACTTCTTGTATTACTCCTTATTTGTATTTTATTTCTGTAATTTTTTTTTAAAAATCTGGACATTTTCAAAAGAAAGAGAGAATATGTAGACTGTGATATATCACTCAGCTTTAACGTTTATCATTACAAGGTTAATTTTCTGCATCCCAGGTTATTTTGAAAATCAGTAGATATCATGTAGATATATATGTAACAGGTAACTAGATATCATGACATTTAATTTGTAAATACTTAATGTGTATCTCTAAAAAGGTGAGGACTTAGTCGACTTATGTCTCTTAAACTCCTCCCATTTTCTCCATTTTCCTCCTGGTCCACAGTGCACTCGTCCTGGGGACTCCCCTATAATCTGATTTTGTTTGTCTTGTGCATTGAACATGTTTCTCTCTCTGTATTTTGTTACAGATAGCTGCAGCATTTATTTACATCTGAAAGTAGATTTTGGATTGTTTTTTGTGTTGTTAGTGGCAATTGCCAAGGTTAATAATTTTTTTTAGAGGTTGTACAATGGTGATAATCTTAGTTCTTTTTATTAAGTGAGAAGAGCCACAGTATTTTAATCAGTCACTTTAAATCCTTTATATTTTTTGTAGTATCATTAATGATGAATACTCTGAGTAATGTGTTTTTTAAGATTTGAATAGGAAAGAAGACAACCTAAAAAGATTTCCTCCTAAGGTATCATTGAAATAATATTTGTAATTTAGGAAAGATTTCCAGATGATTTTATATATATATATATATATATATATATATATATATGTGTTGAGGGTTTATTTATTTATGCACACAGAACTGGGGTACAGGCCAGAGGTGCAGGGGCAGTGAGAGGAGTCACCAGAGACAGAATGGGGAGCAGAATAGGCCAACTGAGAATAGGCTTGCTGAGGGGAGCGGCAAGCGGGCCAGGAGAGGTCTGTTGGCCATGTGGGTCACCTCCGGGGATCGAACTCATGCTGAACTGACTTTAGTTTCTTAGTGCTGTGCTTTCACCTACTGCACCACCGGGGAGGGCCCTATATATGTTTTTTTTAACTTCTAGATAATCCTGTTAATGAATTGTATGTCATATTTACATAGATATGGAATGTCTCAAACGGGAAGCTTCTTCATTTGTGTGCTCCAATTTCAATAGAAGGAGGAGCTGCTACCCACGGAGGCTGGGTGACTGACCTTCGCTTTTCCCCAGATAACAAAATGCTTGTTTCTGCTGGAGGATATCTTAAGGTAAGAGCTCCTCCAAGACTAAAAGAAAACACCTTATATTCCATTTCCTAGGCTATTTTCAGAAACTGTTCCTCAGTTGGGCCTCATACAACTCAGCAGAGTGGAAGGCAGTGACCATTATCTCCATTTTGTGTAGGACTGAGCTCTGCACGGCTGCTCTTGGTTGTTTCGATGACAGTGTTAAGAACCTACTCGGTCCAGAGTTACTATACAGCCTGATAGAAAGCCCTAGGTGATCAGAGTCACTGGCAAGTAGGGTGTTTTAACTAATTTTATTTTCACTTCACTAAAAACTGTTTTGGTTGAAAGCATGTAAAAAGATAACTCGAGGGTAATTTTTAGCTTCACAAGAGGACATGTATGATGATCCCTTTACACATTTGCCTTGAAAATACAGTGCTGTCTACAAAATACTGTGTTAACCTCTACCTTTTGGGGTACATCTTTAATTTGAGCTATTAGGGGATTCTGAGATGATCAGTTGTCTTCTTTTTGTATAAAGGAGGATGAGCCTTTGAGGAGGAACATGACTGTCTTACTGTTGGACACTGCCAGCTTTGAGCGCTGTTACTGTTGTAAGACCTAACTGCCCAGCTTTGATACTGAGCTTCTTAGCGGCCTAGTCATTTGATACTCTGGGTCCCCTAAAGGCAGTCACATAATCCTGAGTCTGGCTTACGTGACACTAAGAACATCAAGGTTTCCAGAGTTCTTGGAGAATCTTGAAATAAAGCAGCAGCATAGATGTCTGTAGTGTAGCAGTTATGTTGTGTGGGCAGAAGAGCCTGTAGCGTACACTCAGTCTGTCGACCTGAGTGGCCTCGTGCTTCCCCTGGGGGTTGACTACTGGCGTGGTGAACTGATTACCGTGTAGCCCAGTCCGCATCATCTTCCCTGCATGTTAATGAGACCGTGCTCAAGTGCAGAGAAAATTAAAAGTAAAGAGGAACAGCTGCTGCAGTGTCCAAGAAAATCAGCCTTTGAGACTGTTTACTTTAGAATCTAAGCTATAGAAATTAAATGTCAGTAAGATAAAGTAGGTACGCAGTAGCTAAAAAAGCTCTTTGAAAATTATTGCTATTTATAAGTTAATAAATAATATCATTTAGCTGCACTTGTGTTATGCCACAGAGCAGACACTGTTGGAATGACAAGAAGTCCACATTCCTGCATATTTATGAAGGAAAGGCAGCTTTGAATAGCGTCTACATGACGATAAGTTCAGGTTGGCCGTCAGCTGCAGCCGAGTGCAGCCGTCAGGGGCGTGAGCCAGGGCTGGTTGCCTGAAATCAGTCTGGCCCTGCTTCTGGCTTTTTGAGACTGCACGAGAGTATGTGGTCTCATCTGCAATGTTTTCATCTGCAAAACTGGTACAATGTTTACCTCAAAGTAGAGAGGGTTAAAGGCTTTAATACCCACAAAACACGTACCTATTGTGACGCAGTGCGTCCTGCAGAAATGTGACCTGCTAGGCTTTTTCTAACTGAGGCTGTTAGAGCAGTGTAGGTTCACAGCAAAACTGAGCAGAAAGTACTATCTCCACATACTCCCACCTGCACAAATGCATCCTCCCCCCATCAGTGTTACATCTGTTCCAACTGATGAACGTGCTTTCACACATCATCATCAGCCTGAGTTTTTTACATAATGGCTCCCTGCTGGTGTGTGTTCTGTGAGTTTGAGAAATGGATATGATATGTATCTACCATTGTAGTATCATGGAAAATAATTTCACCGCCCCCCCAAATCCTCTGCCCCCCCTCCCCCCAATCAGCTGCTCCTGTTATATCACTGTGTTTAGTCCATACTCAAACCAAGTGGTGATCCATTTTACTAGGGCGGAAGGTGGTGGGAGCACTAGATTTGGAAGCCAGAAACTTCACCTCTGCCTCCTGCTATTGGTGTCATGGTGGACGGGTGACAAAGCCCTGTTTTCCTTATTTGTGAGATGAGGTGGTTGGACTAGGTGATGTTCAAGGACCTCATTCCTCCTGCCGTGCCCGTAGCAGCTGGAAGCTAATGCACGCTCTCAGCTCGGTGGAATGTGTCCTCTGCAATCCTAACTACCCTGCCAGTTTCAAAGCAAAATTGTCAGCTTTGGAAATCTTCAAGTTAGTGCCTCAAGTAAACATGCAAACATGAGGCTTACTGCCCCCCACAGGTTGTACTTTACCAGTTACTGTCTCTGATCGTCGGCGTCAGTAGTTGACGTAGCCCCATGCACAAAGCAGGGTGCGGGCACTGCCTGGGTGCCAAAGTGAGGGACCCCACTGCTGTTTTGGTGCTACTGGGGATCTTGGCGTACTTGAGGGCTTTTCAGGAGCTGCCGATGTGCATCATCTTTCTTCCCTCTTGGCAGCTCTGAGGTAGATGGGTCGCTCTCAGGCTCTGCTTGGTTAACAAATGTAAATATTGTCAGCAGTGAATTCAGTGCTGGGGAGGAGAAAGGAACGGCTTGGCCAGAGCATATGCTACTTTTGGGATTTTAATATTTACTTGGCAACTGAGTGATAGATGATTTTATGAAGAAAGTTGGTCACAGGCCCTTGAGTCACTCTTGGTGAGAGGAAAGTCTCAGTGGAGAACACTCTCCCACGACCCTATTCTGACTGGCCTGGCATCTGCCAGCCTGGCCGTCTGTGCGCGCAGAGGGGCATTTTGAGGGAAGGGAGGGGCCATTCTTCTGTCTGTCCCACCGAGAAAGACGCGCTTGTGGGCCACCCATCCAGCGGGCCGCAGTGAACTCACCGTCCCCTTGTGCTCGCAGTGGGGCAAGTTTCTCTGCCGCCGACCGAGGCTTGGGGTAGCTGCGGGGCTCTTTCCAGGTCAGTCAGGAAAGGCCGAGCAGGTTGACGCAGCACTGAGCCTTGGGCCTCTGTCCTGCTCTCTGGGAGTGGGGGTACAGGGCAGAGGGCCTGGCTGGCACTGTAAATTGTCACAGTATAATCACCAGTCTAATGAGAAATTTGTTTTCTCTGACAGTGGTGGAATGTTGTCACTGGGGAGTCCTCACAGACCTTCTACACAAACGGAACCAACCTGAAGAAAATACACGTATCCCCCGACTTCAAAACATGTGTGACTGTTGATAACCTTGGCATTTTATATATCTTACAGATTTTAGAGTAAAATATTAAGCCTTAATATAGGCTGAACATTTGATTTTGAATTGGAGAAGAATTCTGATGAAACTGTTTCAACTCTTCATAAAACTGTGAATTGTTCTGCAGTATTGCATTACAGAAGTGCTTGTGGTTGGATGAATGATATTTAATGTAGCTTTTCCCCAAATGAACATACCTTATAATCTTGTTTTTCATAATCATCATTATTGTTAAGTTTGTCCTAAAGATGCAAATGTAAATATGTACCTTGTTAGACTGTTGGTAAAGTTCTCTTGATGCATTCAACTTGGTTAACATAATTACATTGAAGGAAACTATTGTAATACTCTCATCGTGCAGGCCGTGCCTGGAGGCATCAGCGGCCTGCTTGCTGAACCACGCTTCCCTCGAGGGGACATGGTTCTCTCAGATATAAGCTTGGAGCTTAATTGCACCCCCTTAAACTTGCTTTACAAATATTGTGACTGCACACATTCTGCATCATTTTCTTTAATTCACTCAGAACTTTTGAGATCCAAAATTCACATACTTTCTGTGCAGCAAAAATTATGTGTGGGAAAGTGAACTGCCTTTTCCTCACTTGCAATGGCAGCCACAGGCCATAGGTGCTGGTGTCTGAGGGGCACTGACCTGCTTGCTCTTTTTTTTAAGCAGTTGCTCAACAGTTAATGTTAGAAAATCAGAATAATTGGAAGGTACATTTAATCATGGTCAATCATACATTTTAACAATAAAAGTTTGCTAAGAAATACAGTAAAAAAAATCCCTTCTAATCTCTTTTAGATAAATGGCATTGTCAACATTTTTCCTAGTAATGCTCAAGATAATTGTCTATGGTTTTTGATGCAATTCCAGCAACTTTGTCATCTCTAGAAATGTCATTTTTAACCTTCCAAGTCTCCCTTTCCCTTTAACCTTCCCCTGCTCCCTTTCTCCTTTCCCCAACTGCCCTTTTCTCCCTCTAAGGTTGTTAATCAGGAAAGATAGTTTTTGACAGGGAAAAAGCACATCAGCATTAATAACTTTTTTGACCTTCTGATTAGGAACTTTAATTGAAATTTTAACCTAAATGGTTTCCTTAAAATATATTAAGGGAAATGTCAATGAATTAACAGATGTGGTTCATATATTAAATATTACAAAAGTTTTTGTTTTTGCAACAGGAACTAAATCAGTGAGTACTGGTGTTACCAGCAGCTGAGCAGTGAGCCAGTTCTGGGGGTGCATATTGGGGCGGGTGGGGGAATAGGCCCTCCCGGGCATATTTTAGATTAGCTGTTCCTACTTCGCATTTGAGGGAACCATAAATAGTGAATAAGATCTTTTATGTTTTGAAGAGTTTTTTTTTCTTTTAATGGTGCATTGAAGAAGCAGTTTACAGACTTACTGTCATTTAAGCAAATGTGATGTGAAAATCTTCATTTTATGAAAAGTTTCTGTAAATATTTACTGCTTAGAGTATGTAAGTCATAATTTGATTGCAGACAATGTTTAAAAGCTCACATCCTCTGCAGCACAGAACATAAAGTAATACATTTGGGAATTAAAAGTCACTTCACTGTTAATTTAAATGTTAAAGTATAACAACAAATGTCAAGTTTTTCAAAACCTTGACTGGCCCTTGTCTTAAAAGTTAATTAAAAAGAAAAATGGGAAAGACAGGCAGTGTGACAAAGCTGCACGGGCTGGGGCCTTTTTGTAATTTGCAGGCCAACATTTTTCTTCTCTGGTAATTTTTTTTTTCTGTATTGGAAATTAAATTGTGTTTGGATACATAAAGTTTTTTTTTTTAATTGTGTGTGTGTCTTGTATGTTTTCAACTGGTGGATTTCATGACAATTTATAGGCTATTTTTGATGTTAGCATTCCTCTTTAAAAAATGAATTTTAAAAATTTTATGAAAATAAAATTCCTAAAATATTTTGAGCAGCATTTTTGGGTTGTTTCAGACGCCCTGTTTGTCCTTTATCTGTCAGTGAGAAAACAAATGTGCTTTAAGCTGCAGCCCATCACCCTTTTTACTGGCACTTTATCGGCCATGCACAGATTCCATCAAAATTTCCCGCTTCAACTGATTGCTGCCCACTGTGGCCGCTTGGAGCAGAGCCTGTGAAGAAGAGAATTCACTTCTCTCCTCACTCTTTCCATTCATTCACTAAGTACTTACAGAGATCCACCACAGCCTGGCGTTGCTGACGGTGTTGGGCGGCAGCAGGGAGAGACCCAAGTCCTTGCCAGCCTCAGCTGCGGGCTAAGGAGAAGCAGAGAAAGAGTCAGTAAAATCTCGCGGTGTGAGCTGGCCTGTGTACACAGGGAGGGGTTGCGGTGTTAGATGCTGCTGCTGATCGAAAAGGAGATGCTGGGGGAGGGGACGAGCCACACGAGCATTTCCAGGCTTGAGTCCAGCAAGCGCAGACTTGAGGGAGGGACACGCCAGGGCTGGCCACAGGCCTTGTGGCTGGAGAGCCTGGGTGAGGGGCGTGTGACTGGAGACAGTGACGCTGGAGGCTCCTACATTGTAAGAGCTTTTACTCTGAGAGTAGATAGGAGCCAGAGGAAGAATTTGAGCTGTGGAACAATCGGATCAACACTTCAAACTTGCTTACTCTTGCAGGGGGAACTAAATGACTGTCAGTCAAAATGGTGGAGGTGGGAGGGGACAGACAAGGGTGGCAGCAGAGACGCCAATGGAGAAGTTTTTGCAAAATGAATTGGGACCAGCCCAGCATGGAAGCAGCAGAAGTTGTGGCTCGTTGGATTCAGGTTATGTTTTGAAGTATTAGTAAACTTAGTTGGGTAAAACTTAGGAGTCCACTGAGACCAAGGTTTGCCAAGCAGCAAACCTTGAGCAAGCAGCTGGGCAAAAGAATTGCCATTGACAGAGGAAGAGTAACAGGTGGTCCCCAGGAAGGGAAGGTTCCAGGGTCCTTGCCCCACACAAAGGAGGGTAGGGCTGAGCAGGGAGAAGAATGTGGGGAGCAGACTGAGGAAGGAAGGAAGCAGGGTGGAGAGCCAGAGGGAGACCCGAGGAGGCTCAGGGAGCAGAGAGATGTGAAGAAGTAGCTCTTGTTTCGTGGCCCTGGACTGGGTGACACAGATGTGGGTGCCCCAGGAAGAACTATGGCAGCTTTTTTCTTTTAAATATATATTTATGCATTCCAGAACTGGGGTATAGGCCAGAGTTGAGGGGGGGTTGAGGGGGTTCACCAGAAACAGTGTGGGGAGCAGAAGAGGCAGATGTACTGAAATACACTGTGAGGGGAGCAGCAGGTGGGTCAGGAGAGGTCTGCCACACCATGTGTGTCCCTTCCCTGGTTACAGTGGCTGCCGATAGCTTCATAGTGCTGTACTTTAACCCATTGTGCCACCAGGGAGGGCCCAACTATGTGAGCCTTTAACTTGATTTTTTTCTTCCTCCCAGACTTGTCTGGCCATTTTTGACCCTTTTCCATGGGCCCCTGCTATAAGGGGCTTTAGACCTGTGGCAGCTTTCAGGCCTTGCTTTGGAACAGTCCCTAGGGTGGACGTTTACCCACGAGGGGATGGGTGACTTCGGGTGTTTTAGAAACTCTATTCTTTGTCTTCCCTGTACTGCACACTGCTTGATTGTATCAAAGTTCCTTATAGGTCTTATATGTTTTGTCTTCATGTGGCAGATGGCAGAACCTGTTTAGAGCAGGCAGGTTTGGAGGGACTGGGGTGCCCCCCTCCCTGTCCTGTAACAGAAGTAGCAAGTTTTTGGTCATAGACTAAGTTTGAGATGGCTATTAGGCATCCTAGTGGGGATGCTGAGTGAGGTGGTGAGCTCTGGAGTTAGTGGGGGAAAATCTAAGACGGAGCTGTACATCCCAGTCACCTGTGTGAACTGAAGATCTTTGGAACAAGAGGATCAGCTGAGATCGGCAATAAAACATGTAGACAGAGGGCAGGAGGTTGGAGGCTGAGGCCAGAGCCTCAGACTGATGAGATGAGCAGCCCACATAGAATGGCCAGCTAAGACTAAATATTGCACCTCAGTGTGGTAAAGTGACTGCATTGGCCGTGGGCTACTCAACTAAGTGTGACCTTGGACAAACTGTGTTGGTTCATCAGACACTTATGTAGCCAGACGCCTTGAACATTACTGTGTGCCAAGCACTACTTTCAACAGCAGGCAATCAAATACATTTTAGTTGTTAGGGATAGAATGAGGATAATAGATTAAAAAAAAAATCAATTGCCTTCTCTAACAAGGCCATCAGGTTTTTCTTCAGGGTGATTACGAGGATTAGTAGGATAACGAAGTACCTACCCCAGTGGTTAGATGAGAGAGAAAGTGTGGGATGAACATCCCTTGGTGCTATTTGGGTCCCAGCATCCTTTGCCTGGCAACAGTTTCTGACAGCTCTCTTTGCACAGTCCCCTGAACACTGGCACTTGGATACTTCCTTGCATATAAGACAGGACAGACATTTAATAAAATGCCTGGATTAGAAAACCAGCTGCTACTTGGCTAATTTACCCACAGAAGTGTTAACGTCACTGTGTGCAATCACAAAGAAGGGGCAGAAGACCTTGAATCAAACTCAAGACACATCAGAGTTCAGGACTTTGAACTTGTTTGGGGGAAACCATGAGCTCCTGAGCCCAATGACCTGAAGACCAGAACATGCAAAATTTTCATTTTAATTGCAAACAGTGAGTCGCTGGTTCACATTGTTGTTTTGTTACAGGGAAGCCCAATGTGAACTGGGTGCCTGTCTGTGGGTCCTCACCCACACGCTTAAAATTCAATTGTACTGCAGGCACACACAAAAAGGGTCAATAATGGGTTTATTTACAAAGGGGAAAGGAAAAGGAACAACCCAGGGAAAGAGAGATAGAAGGTAACTAGAACATCCTACCAGCTCCACTGACTTGGAACTCCAATAACACACTGATAGCTCCTCAAAAGCCAAACCACCAGCCACCTGCTACTCAGTCCAGAAAGAGCCTGCAGTCCACAGAGCCATGCGGTCCAGAGACAGAGCCTCTCACCTTGCTCCCTTATATCTCCCCAAAAGTCCCAGAATGCCTGCTTAGCTCCACCCTTGGGCCCTTGCAGTTCTCTCCATGGCATTGCTGGGAGTTGTAGTTTCTGATCATTGGAGTACGGGGTGGAGTCCACAGAACTCTGCAGAGTTCCTTTAGGACATCATTTTCCTCTACCAGATTCACATGTAAGGCGGCCTACCATTTATCACAACAAACGATAACCTGCTGCATAATTTCCCATCATCCAGGGCTAGAATTTAAGTGAGCATTCCAGGCCCGACTTTGGGCCGGGTGTCCTTGAGAAGCTGCTGGAACTGGAGAACACCCTGCCAGCACTACGTTGCCCACCTGGAGGTCTATTTCCTCCTCATCCTGGCCAATACCCGGCCCTCACTGGGTACTCGCTGAGTGGATTCGCAGGCTAGACTACCTCACTGACTGAGGGAGGGGGACAGCCCGTGAACTGACTGCAGACAAGCCAAGGCTAGAATCCAACTCTGATTTCTTTATAGAAGGTCCACAGAGGCACAAGTTGCGTGCTGGTTTCAACCAGAAGTGGGTTTTCTGTGGACACCAGTCTAAATGTCAGAGCTTGGTTCAGCAGCAGGGGAAGATTCTGATCTGTGCTCGTCATTTCCGGCTCATCTTCAACTAGCAGCGGTTCTAACCCCTTCCTCTTGGTTCTGTTTGCCCTGCTCTGTCAAGTCACTTTCTGAGATACCTGAACCCTTTTCTAGGAGGAAGAGGAAGCTATTTTTTTTTGTTTTTTTAAAGACTTAATTGAAGCTTCACAACAAAGTTGCAAGGTTAGCTCTATCTTCCTGATGTGAAAACAGAAGGAGAGAGCTTAACCCACTCTGGGCCTGGCAGCCAAGCCAGAGCTAGGGTTTCTGTCCATGGCTGTATCCAGGCACATTGTTTCAGTGACTCAGTTCCTTATTCATTTTCCTCATCCCTTCATGCCTCACTGTAACAGGGTGGTCCCCAGGAAAAGGGGAAGTTCCAGGTTCCCTGCCCCGCCCAGAATTAAGTGGACAGCGGAGACTGAGGGGCGTTTTGGATTTGCTAGCACTTGGCCACTGCCCAACCCGGCCTCAATTCTCTGATAAAGCATCAGCCAGGGAAGGTAGCGACTTCTTGCTCCTGCAAAATCTGTTCCTACATTAAACTACAGGGGTCACTACACATTCACAGCAGGGCTGTGGCACGTGGATCTGTGTTCTTTCTGCCAACTTGCTTCCCGTCCTTGTCTCATTTTCCTTCGACGTTAAAAGGGGCAAACCTCTCTCCAGTTTCCTCACTGGACAACTAGGGACCACAAC